AGTTCTAATGCTTTGTTGTTTACTTAGAGTTTGAAATTATATGAAGAGCTTGACTATTTAATTCACCACCACATTATAAATATATTGTAATTTTATAGTTCTGGATAATTAAATTTATTGTATATTACATATATATGTATTTCCAGTGGATTCATTGGTTCTGTTCAGGAATTCCCCAAAATATTCTAGCATGGGACCCCACTTACTTTTAACATTATCACCTTGTTAGAGTATTGAAAATAAGCATGGGCTTTAGAATCAAAAAGGTGAAGGTTTTGTGCATGATTGTGAACTAAATTAGCCTCTCTTAGCTGTAGAGTAACTTGCTCAGGACGCATGTTAGTATATGGCAGGTTCTAGGATTTAGACATAGGTCCTAAAGAATACATTCATAACCACTGTCCTACTCCTGCCTCTAAGCTAAACTTAGAGCTGTTCACTTACTATTGACAGGAGTGATAGTGAGGTCACTTCCTTGCTCTGAAGAGATGTGCTGTTACATTTCTTCTTACATATGGCCAAGTCCATTAAAGCAATTTGGATTAAATTTCACAGATTTATATATAATATTCTACTGTTATTTAAAAGTTAAGTGGCAGGCACTGAGAGAACACTGCAATTGGAAAAAAATATTTTTCCTCTTTCTGGAGTTTACATTTCTACTAGGATGATTAGAGATACATCATATGGCCAATCACAACACATTCAATGATACAATTCTGTCATAATGAGTGATTGATATTTAGTATTATATATAATGAAGAAAGGGGCTGTTGTGGGTCAACATAATTTGGAAAGTCTTCAGAAAAGGAAGGATTGGGTTACTTCCCAGAGGAATATGATTTATTGTATACATACTTATTTTGTATTCCTAATAACAATGCAGTTTCATTTACTGTAGTGTTTATAAAGTGTTTTTCAAAGTTGAAAGTTCACTGAAGATTATAAGCAAAAGTGCCCTAGACAAATAATATTTTCTGAAAATGAGAAGAGTATAATTGTATTATTAAACCAAAATATGACTAGTGAAAATGTTCTTATAGGGCTGCGGTGGCTTGTGTTGGAGCATTTTATGAAAAAATGGGGAGAATGTTAGGCAGTGCATTTCCAGAAACAGTAAATAATCTTTTGAAATCTCTGAAAAGTGCAGAGGTAAGTTTTACAACAAAGATTATTTGAATGTTTTGCCATGGCGAGAGTTAGTTAAAAATGTTTTTTCTGTCACTGTGGTATTCATACTACTAAATAAAAGAGTAATTTCAGATTATTACTTACCCTTTCTTTTAATGAACATTACCTTAAATTTTGGGAGAGGGGAAAGAGTGCTTTTCCTTGATAAAGAATAGGTTTACCAATTTTTTTTACTTTATTTTTTGTATTGCCAGTTTATTTTTTGTGCATTCCTATCAGTTTCCTGTGTCTTGCATAATAAATTGTCACAGATTCTGGAGGCCAGATGTCTGAAATCAAGTGTCAGCAGGACCATGCTTTCTCTGAAGGCTCTAGGGAAAAGCTTTCTTTCCTCGCTTTTAACAGTTGCTATGGATTTCAACCAGTGTGATTTCATCTTCATTTGATTTCATCAGCAAAGACCCTGTCTCCAAATGAAGTCATATTCACATGCATCAGGGTTTAGGACTTGAATTATTATTATTATTATTATTTTTGGTACCGGGGATTGAACTTGGGACTTGTGAGGCAGGCAGCGGCACCACTGAGCTAAATCCCCGGCCTTGAATTATTTTTGAGCAGGACACAGTTCAACCCAATGACAGTTAATGCCAAGTAAAAAGTAGTTCTATTTTGTCATGTCAGTTTGGTTACTGTCATAAATTCCTTGTCAACTTTCTATTAATTAAAAATGAACTAAGCTCATGACTTGTCAATCTAATTTTTTTGTCCAAAAAACTATCTCTCAGATGATACTTTTTCTTATTAAACAGGAATAGAAGACATTTTATGTGTCAAGCATTAGTCATCTAAAGGTGAATAAGATGGGGTCCCTGACCTCAAAAAGCTTACAGTCTAGTAGAGGAGGTCTATGTGAACAGTTTTTATGATATGCCATGCCACATATACTATTAGAAAAGAGAATAACCATTGTGAGAGTACAGAAAAAATAGATTGGATCAGTCACTAGAAGATAAGGGTTTACAGTATTTTTGTGATAAGTTTTTTAAATGTGTTGGATGTTTTCTTCCTCTTTCGTTGTTTTTATTACTTTTAACTACTTTTTTACTTAATCTTCTGAAACTTTGGTCTCTTGAGAGATGATATCAAAACTTTTCAATCTATTCATGTTCTCATATTGTATTCTTCATTATGTCATGGAAACATTAGAATATACTTCCTTCTGACGTAATTTGTGAGAAGACATTTAATTAAAGTTGTTAATTATTCTTTTTAAGTACTTGATAGAATATTTTATTTTACTTTTAATTACTTATTGTTAGAATTTGGTGGTAAGATCACTAGGTCTAGAGAATTGTTTCTTGGTGTGTTTTTGTTGAATATGGAATTTATTATAGTAATAGTTCTAAAGCTTTACGTGCACATACAGTCTCAAGGGAGAAGTGAAATCTTAATGAGTCTACAGAAAGTTCTAAATGGATTGGGTGGTGCAGCAGCCTCCTGTCATCGTGATATTTACAAGAATGCCAGGTCCCTCTTGACTGACAGATCAATGGCAGTTCGATGCGCAGTGGCCAAGGTTAGTATGGGACCGATTTATCATGCTGCTCCTGATTCTGCCTGCTCTTAGTTAATGACAATATTTCTTTTAGTGTTTTAAATTATGAAAGTGTTTTCTATTCTCACAAATTAATTACTGTTTTCTAGAACTGTATATAAATGGATTCATGATACATACTTTTGTGCATATATGTGTTCTGGTTTCTTTCACAAAGCATAATTATTTTGAAATTCATATACACTGTTGTATATATCAATTGTTCATACTTTCTATTGTTAAATAGTATTTTATTGTATTGATATGCTGCATTTATTTGTTCCTTCGCCTTTTATAAACATTTGGGTTGTTTCTAGTTGTGGCTCTTACCAAAAAAGCTGCTGTGAACATCTGTGTGCAAGTTTTTGCCTGGATGTATGCTTTCATTTCCTTTGGTAAATGCCAAGGAGTGAATGGCTAGATCATATGGTAGATTTATGTTTGCCCTTTTAGTAAACTGCCTGCCTATATTGTAAAGTACTTGTTCCATTTTACATTTCCACCATTTTCCATTCCATCAATTTAAGAAAATGTTCATATGATAAAGGATACTTTGTATTATTATATGAACTTTATAATTAGCTTATCAATGTCTAAAAAAATAACATGCTAAAGCTTTGATTTCAGATTGCACTGAACCTAGGGGTCAGTTTGAAGAGAATCGTTTTCTTAAATTTTAAGTCTTCCAACCTATGAACACAATATATCTTTCCATTTATTTAGGACATTGGTTTCGCCTTGCAACATATGTGGTATTCATTATCCTAGTCTACCATCTTTTCCCAGTACTCTCGGAAGCTGAGGCAGGGTGAGTGCAGCCTAGGCAATTTAGCAAGAGATTTAGTTGAGACCCTGTCTCAAAATTAAAAAAAAAAAATTATAAAAGGGACTGGGGATGTAGCATAGTGTAAAGGACTAGGGTTCAATTATCCTCCCTGCCCCACCACCACAAACCTGTGATGTTAACTGTAGGTTTTCGTAGATGTCCTTGGATCTAATGGATATTGGATTTTGTGAAATGCCTTTTGTTTTACATTTGGTTTCTTGTTTTGTTTCTGTTTTTGCTATTGTCTAGTTAAAGTTTTTACTTTAAGTTAATTGTAGATTTATATGCAATTGTAAGGAAAAATATAGAGAGGTGTTTATAAACCTTTACTAGATTATTCCAAATGATAATATCTTTGAGTAGTATATGTAACAACCAGAATATGTACTAACATTGAAATAACCCAGATTTTGTTTAGATTTCCCTAGTTTTACTTGTATTCTCTCAAATTCTTTTTTTTTTTGGTACCCGGGATCAAACTCAAGACCTTGCACTTGTGAGGCAGGCACAGTGCTACTGAGCTAAATCCCCGGCCCTCAAATCCATTTTTAACACCTAATGAGAAAATCATATGATTACTCTTATTTGGTTTGCTAAAGTGAATTACATTGGTTAGTTTTAGAATTTGAACCCATCTTACTTTCCTAGGATAAACTCTACTTGGTCATTCTTTGTTTTTTGTTTTGTTTTGTTTTGTTTTTGTTTTTTGAGGCGGGGTCTCCCTTTGTAGTTCAGGCTGGGGCTGAACTCACTATGTAGCCCAAGGTGGCCTTGAACTCTCAGCGATCCCCCTGACTCAACCTCCTGAGTGCTGGATTACAGGTTTGCGCCACCAGGCCTGGCTGTTTCGTTTTGTTTTGTGACATGGTTTTGCTATGCAGTTCAGTCTGGCCTCAAACTCACCATGTAGCCCAGGCTGGCCTTGAACTCTCAGCGATCCCCCTGACTCAACCTCCTGAGTGCTGGATTACAGGTTTGCGCCACCAGGCCTGGCTGTTTCGTTTTGTTTTGTGACATGGTTTTGCTATGCAGTTCAGTCTGGCCTCAAACTCACCATGTAGCCCAGGCTGGCCTTGAACTCAAAGCAATACTCCTGCATCACCCTCCCCAGTGCTGGGATTACAGATGTGTGCCACTGCACCCTGCACCACCTGGTCGTTCTTTTTTTAAATTTTAATTTTTATTAGTATGTGTTTACAGTTCATTGTGGAAAATTGGCACATGTATGTAATACCTCTCAATTCATTACTTTTTCCCCTTTCTCTCTACCTTACTTGGTCATTCTATATAACCTGTTTTTTTCTTTTCTTTTTGTAGGCAAATAGAACTTTTTTTTTCACCATTAAGTTTATTGGTACATTTTAGATATAAAATACAGTTACGTTCATCATTGGGATCTTGTACCTGTACCTGATATATCTTGGTTCTTATTTTTTCCCCATTCCCCTGCCCTCCCTTTACCCCCTCCACCCTTCCCTATTTAAAAGACTTTGTTTCCATTTTTTTCCCTTTCTCATATTTTTTCTTTTCCCTTCTTTCCTTTCCCCTACCCCTCCTACTTACCCTACTCCTTTAGACCTTTTCTTCCTGTTACACAATATCAATTATACATTTTTAAAAATTATAATATCAAGATTTAGAGGACATTACCACAGATTTTACAGAATTTAAAAGGATATAGAAAGCATATTACAAAAATCTTTTTTGAA